GGCTATAAACAGGCGCTGCGTGGACATATCATACTGCAGCTGGTGGCTGGCTCCCACGAGGTACAGCACACGATTTGAGCACCGCCACGGTGGCTGCCGTCAGCTCTGAGACATCACAGTCGTAAGGAATGATGTCACTGACCACACTTTGAACAGCTGTGCAACGGCGTGGCTTGATTGAGTTTTGCTAGATGTCACAATTTCGGGGCGTACTGGCATGCCTTCCCACCATACTTCCCACTCGCGAGTAGATTGCGGTCGTGCAAAAATGCCGCACTTTGGCACTGTTACACTTCTTGCAAGGCAAAATGGTGCATTGCCAAGGAATGATGTGATGTGTACATTAGGGTGCCTGCCCCAACACAACATCAACCTCAGCAGCAAAGGCAGCGAATCCGCCATGCCTCGCACTGCCACACACGACTCGAACGCAGAACCAACCCAAAACCGCAAGCTCGAACGCAGAACCAACCCAAAACCGCAAGCCATCTCATCATCGCCCCGGGCTTGCGTAGGAAAATTCACCCACCCAACATCGTCAACGGCACCAGTGAAGCCCAAACACAGTTTCAAGGTGCAAATTGGGCCGGCTAGTTCGCGGCGCCGCATGTCGCAGCGGCTGCCTCCCTGGCCACAGCCGCGCCGCGCGCGGGCGCGGGCAATGGAAATCGCGGCTCGCACCAATGAGCGGCACCAAACAACCGCTTGATCTCCATGTCTCAAGCGGCAGAAAGATTGACGCATGCCCAAAACAAGCATGCGTGCATGAGGCGACCACCCCTTCTAGAACAAAGCAGACACAGGGGGGAGAGGTCTGGTTTTGATGGCACAGGCTCGAACCCCAATGGTTCATCTCATGCTGAATGGCTAGGGCCCACCGGGGGCACTTCCCAGCTGGCCAGAACAGGCTGCTCCACCTTGGCAGATGGGTCCAGCACCCGCGCCCTTCGTCGCAGCTGCGCCGCTGCCTCGTCGCCACCGCCGCCGCCGCCGGTCACGTACTGCTCGTGCTCGTGCATCAGCGGCTGCTGCTGCTGCAGCTCCTGCTGCTGTTCGTGATACTGCTGCATCTCCGCCGCTGACATGTGCTGCGGGCCCAGGTCAGGCGGCCCAAACCCATTCACGTCCTGAGACGCCTCCGCCCACAGCTGCTGCCTCCACAGCTCCCGTTCCTCCTCGTCCACCGTAGCAGACACGGGCCCCTCCAGACCGTCCGCGCTGCCGGCCGTGCTGTCGCTGCTGTCACTGCTGCTGCTGCTGCTGCTGGTGGCGTCGCTGCCGGCGTTGTGGGGCAGGTAAGCGCTGTCACTCGAGTAGAAGTGCATATACGCGCCGCCCGCAAACCTAAACACTGACATCAGCTTGAGGACCCCCCAGGTCGTCATCGTGCTCGCCATCCCCGCCGCCGCCGCCCACGACAGCACCGCAAACTGCGCCGCGCTGCCGCAGACCTGGATCGCCGACAGCGTGTTGGTTCGGCCGGCGGCGATGAAGCCGCCGTCGGCGATGCTCGCGCCAGCATCGATGGGCATGCCGAGCGCGATCATGGGGATGATCGCGAGGCTCATCTGCGCCACGACCGCATCCGACGTGAAAATGGAGACAAGCGGCACCCGCGCCACGAGCAGCGCCGCCCCGACGCCGGCGCCGACGGCAACCGACAAGCCCGTCGCGCGGCGCAGCAGCGCGCGCGCGGCGGCGCGGTCGCCGGAGCCGAGGAGGCCGGCTGCCATCGACTGTGTCGCGACATTGAGGCACTCGAACAGCTGAATTGACAGGATCCACAGCTGCCGGATGACCTCAAACGCGGCCTGGGAGGCAGCGCCCAGGCGGACGCACATGGCTGACGCATACATGATGATGCCTGGTGGTTTGGGGTTTGGTTGTTTGGGGTTTGGTTGTTTGGGAGTGAGGGAGATAAGGAGCGCGCGTGCGGCAACAAGTGTGCAGGATGAGCTGGCGTCCCCTCCTCTGTGCTAAGAGAGCACGCAACAGCTGGCCCTGCAATGGCGGGCATGCGCCGCAGCCCTCCGGCCTGGGGATGCAACCCTGCCAGCACAAGCAACCAAATGCCGTCGTTCCGCCCCTTGTGCCCCCCCCCCATCCACACCCCCATGCTCACCAAACGTCGCCACCATCCTGAATGCGAGGAAGAAGCCCTGCGACACGTACGGCTGCACCTCCTCCCACGCCGGCCGCCGCGCCGCGTCGGCAGGCCGCAGCAGCTTCTTCTTGAAGAGCAGCCACACCAGCATGCCCGCCGAAACCCAGCTCGCTGAGGTAGCGGCCAGCGCCGCGCCGGCGACACCCAGTTTCAGGCCTGTGGGAAGTCCGCAAGATTTGCGTCGCCGTGGATCAGGGCGGCGGATCAATCATGCTGCCAAGCAATCCCTGGGGCCACTTGCGCCAGCAAGCCACCCCAACGCCAGGTGCGAAATGCAGGATGAGATGACGCCTGGCCGGGCTTGCCCCAACAGAACATGAGTAGACCAAGCATTCACAAAAACTCAGCAGTCTCGCTGACCAAGAGTGGGCGCATCCCACTGCTGGTGTCCTCACCGTATATGAGGGTGACGCTCAGGATGAAATTGGAGCCAGTGGCCACAACAGCCGCCTGCAATTCGCATCGGTGTGAAAGCGCGCCAGCAACAGCATGAGCAAACCCTCCACCTTGTCAGCAACGCCGGGGCCATCGCCTGGACCAGGCGGCCCGACACAGCTGCTGCCTTCCAGGGATCCAGGCCCGCGGCGGCGCGGGGAGCTACGCCCACCTGCAGCGGTGTGACGGTGTCCTTGACGCCCCTGTACGTGCCCGCCGCCACGAAGCTGACCAGGGCAGACAGGATGCCCCACGCCCTGATGCGGATGAACTGCGATGCGTAAATCGCAACCTGAGGCTCCGGGGGCTTCAGCACTGCAGTAATGGGGGGGGGGGGCGAGGGCGAACAGGGTGGGAAGGGGCGCCACAGGCGGAGGCTGATGGGAGGGGCGCGGTCTAGTTTAGACAGGGCTTCCTGCAAGGCGTGCAGCCCGGCTGCGCCCAGACATACCAGCCGCCTGCCGCGGCTGCGAGTCGCCGTCCCCAACAACGACGAACAGCAGACGCCGCGCGCCAGCGCCGCCCCCGCTCCAGCCCTCACCTGAAATCACGCTGTCGCTGAAGGCCACCAGGCCCCCCGTCACCGCCAGCCCGCACGCCAGGGCCAGCCAGAGCCCGACCGCCGCGTGGCGCGACACGCGGGCCTTGTCGCCCAGGACGTGCGCGGCCGCGACCTGCGGAGGGGGGGTGCGGCCCGGCGAGGCCGCTGTTGGGGGCCGGGGGAGGCGACGTGCCGGCAGGCATGAAGCGCTGCTATGCATGCACACCAACGCGCAACACGCAGCGCAACCACGCTTGCACGCTCACTCCATCTCTCCATCCCTCCCTCTCCCCTTTACACACACACACACATCAACACACACACACACACAGAGCACAAACACACGCCACACGCACGCATGTATGCACAAATGCGGACGCGCATATCAATTGGCAAGCATGCCCACCTTGGGTGTGGTGAGAAACACCAAAAATCCAAATGTGAAGGTCGCAAAGCTGACAGCCAGGCTGCCCAGGCTCACAGCCGCCATCTGCTGAGTGCCAAGGTGCCCAATCATGGCTGCGCATCCCGCCAGAGGGCAAGGATGGCGTGCGATGCAAAGCGTGTGTGGGAGACAGGGATGAGGAGTGAGGTCATCTGGCTGCATGAGCAGCCTCAAGCGAGAAACATGCCGCAGGCAACACCTGCGACCGCGTCGCATACGTGGCGACCACCCGCTGCTGCTTGCATGGGCGCACTGGTTGCTAACAGATGCGAGGCGGGCGCGGTAGCAGATGTGGTGTTCGCGCTGCGGCTGGCACGCGGTGCTCACATGCCGAGATGACGTTCATAATCGGGTCAAGCAGCATCGAGGCCAGGGCCGGGATGGCCAAGGAGAACAGCTCAGCGTCGTATTCCGAGATGAACGCTGACCTGGCGCGCCGCCACTGCTGCTTCAGCGCCGTGCCCAGCGTGGGCGCCGAACCGCGCCAGTCCGACCCAGAGTCTGGCATGCCGCCGGGGTCGGCGGCGGCTGCGGCGGCTGCAACCTTTGTGGTGTCAAGCCGCCGGCAGGTGCGCGGGTGTGGCAGCCTCGTCACGAGAGGAGCGGAAGGCGGTGGGTGGACGCCGCTGCGCCGGGGTAGCGGTGCTGATGCAGTGGCACGCGGGCACCACATCGGCGAGGCGGCGCCCGACATCTGCGGCAGCCTCTGCCGTGCCAGCATGGAAAAAATTTCTTGTTGCTGCTCGTTCCTTAGGCTGTGCACGCCGTCCACGCAGGTGTGGGAGGCGTGGCTGTCAGCTAAGCTGACAACGAGCGCAAGTCCTGTTATGCAAGCTGCAGGGCTTCAAAACACGTGTAGTGTTTGTCACAATTGGCATGAACGCCATCCACGCGGTGCACGCCGATCTTTTGCGCCGATGATGACGGCACAGCGCGCTGTGATGTGTGACAAAGTAATCGATCAGATAACTATGCGCGATTGATAAGCTTTGCAACAAGAAAGGTGTGCATAGCAGGCATCTCGAGCACCAGGTGACACAGTGAGCAGACTGGGTCACATAGAGACTGCCTGAACCTGTTCCTCTCCACCGCTCGTCCTCCAGACTGTTTGTATGTTTAATCTGTATATACCGGTATCTCACATGTAGATACCAGTTAATCAAGTGTCACCCAGCATACGACTTGTGAGTGCAGCAGCGCAGTGACGTTGGTCCACCCGCCCTCCGGGTCTGGAGAGGCTTTTGACCAACAATGAGCACCTTCGCAGCCTCTGTTACCCAGGAGGCTTCGATTGAGGTGCGTGGTGGCGCCCGGGAAGCAGCGCGGTGACTCCAACGCTAGCCGCGGCTTCACGGGTTCTCATCTCCCCAACCCGTCCGCAGGACCTCTCGGAGCTCGCGACAGTACTTAAAGTGGGACTGGGAGCACGCATCAAGGACAGGTCGGCAAACGCACATTTGGCGAGGCCCGGCGGGCGCAGGGCGCGCTCGCGCACTCGACACCCCGCCCGCACTCGGCTCCCACTGCGCAAACAAGCAACGATCGTACCTTGTCATCACAAATGACCTGCAGGACGCACCGGCTGCGCTCCTACAAGCGCTGCTTTCCCGGCTCCGCCGGCGTGGCGTGGCTGGTTGCCAACGGCCACGCCGCCGACGCCGACGGTGCGGTCGCGCTGGGCAACGCGATGCTGCAAGCGGGGCTGCTGCATCACGTGGCTTACGAGCACACATTCAAGGACAGCGAGCTGCTGTACAAGTGAGTCACGGGGCCGGAACTCAAGACTAGCAGCGGCAGCGTCCCGCAGTAAGCACAGTTGACCGTTGCGGGCGCATGCGCAGCGGCGCGCGGGGCGGGCGCGTGCAGCGAACGCCGCGTCCGTGCACCCGGCACTGCATTCGGTGCGCTGTCGCGCAGCAGCATTGCTGGCTGCGGGGTGGGCGGGTACTGGCGGGGCCGGGCGGCGTGGCATCTTGAGGCTCGCCCTATCACTGCAGAGCTGCGGATCTGCGTGTCGTCCATTAGTGACACAATTTGCCCGCGCGCACCCGGCCCGGCCCTTGGGCCCGCAGCAACCTGCTCAGCAAAAGCAGCCCGCTTGCAAGCAACTGAACACGCGTATATTGCCCACTGCGCGTCACCAGGTTCACCGCCGACGACGAGGCGGGCCCAGTGCGGGAGCTTGCGGGCGGCCACCTCAGCGGTGTCGCCAGCGCCGACGGCAGCGCGACGCCGGTCGTGCCTGGCACCCCCACCGCCGCGCACGCGCACGCGCAGGGCGGGCTTCACACGATGGCGTCAGAGCCCTTTCGCGGCAGCACGTGAGCAGGCTCTGAGACAGCCGCTTGCCTGACCCCGACGTCAGGGGATTAGTAACGGGTGGACGACAGCCGTTTCTGCTATGTGCGCGTTTACTTAGCGCACAGAATGTCTTGAGGCCCCGGCCTGTCTCCATTGTGCAGCAGCCGTCCCTTGCACTTCTCTGCCTGACGCCCGCACCCCCGCCCCCTCCACCTCTCCCCGCAGCCGCGCCCGCGCCTCCACGGGCGGCGGCAACGCGCAGGCGCAGGCACACCCGCACGCGCACCGCGCGCTGATCAACGCGCAGATCCACGGCCTGAACGCGCGGCTGGAGCGCCTCGCCGGCCAGCACGCCGCACTCGCCGCCGCCACGGCGCAGCAGCAGGAGGCGTTGGATGGGCAGGCCGCCGCGGACGTGCGGGAGGTGCGGGAGGCGGTCGCGCAGCTGGCGGCAGCGCTGGCGCCGACGCAGCGGCAGGTGCTGCAGATTGCCACGCAGGTGCGGCGCGGCCGCCCGCGCGGGTGACTGCAGGCTGTCGGGTGGCCCGGGGCTGTGGCGCTCCACTGGAGTCGTTTGTGGTTTCCGTCGGTGGGGCCTGCACCAAGTAGGGGGTTGGGTGTTCAACCTATGCCATGCGGGCAGCTTCGCGCATTGAAGCCCCCACATGTGCCTATATAGTATGTACTGTTGGTCTTGGCCTCTCCTGCCCCCTGGGCCGCACTCCGCACGCCCTCCCCAACTTCCCCTGGCTGGCCGCTTCTGGCATGCCATCCCCCATGCGCACACCCCATCTCGCCCCTCGTGCTCACGCTTAACTGGGGTCTTTGCTGACGTCATGATGACGTCACCGCAGGTGGCGCAGCTGCAGTCCCAGATGTCCTCCCAGCGCGCCCTCGTCGGCACGCAGCACGCCATCATGGCCATAGCGATCCTGGCAATGGGCACTGGCTGGGCCGCACCGGCCCTCTGGGGGCTCGCCGCCGCGGCGGTCGGCGGCCTGGTGGCCGTCCTGCTCGGCTGGGGCGCGGACGACTCCGCCGCCGCCGCCGAGCGCAGCAGCGCCGCGCTCGAGCTGCTCGGCGCGCAGCGGCGCGCGTCGCAGCAGCGCGCCGCCGGCTTGGCGGCAGGCGCGGGCGCGGGGGCCGGCGCGGGTGGTGCGGGCGGCTCTGGCGGCTCGTCGCCGCGGCTGCGGCCCGTGAACGTCCCCGGCGGCAAGAGCGACGGCCGCGGCGCGCTGCGCGTGCTGGCCGCGGCGTCAGAGGGGTCGTCGGCGTCGGACGCGCCGGCGCCCGCGACGGCGGCGGTGGAGGCGCTGCAGTGCGGCCGCGTGATCCGCGGCAAGTCGATCGACAGCCTGGTGCGTCTTGCATGCAACCCTGTAGCTTCCCTTGCAATCCTGGAAGCCCCAGGCTGACCTGTGGGTCCTCAAAACCCTTGAGTCGTCCCCCCCGACTCCACAGTGCGCGCGTCTTATATCCTTCAACGCGCGTGGTCGCCGCCAACCTCCCACCCTGCCCTCCCTTGTAATC